TAAAAATACCCTATAAAACGTTGAATTGCAAATAACCCTTTTAAAAAATATTAGATAAGGGTCTTTTGTCATTAAGGTACCAAATTACAATGACCTTAGAATTTGAGGGACTAATGAGCAATTGTTGAGATTTGAGGGGTTAATATGTAATTATTGAGAATTTGAAGGACTAGTCAACAATTATTGAGATTTGAGGGGTTAATATGCAATTATTGAAGATGAGAGGGACTAGTACTAAATAATAACATTAATTTAAAAAAGTGAGGGTGATTTGAACCTACAATCCTTGGGTTGCTCTTCTTTGGGCTTTAACAAACTACGACACACTTCGGTTAAATTTTTTTTCACAAAAAGATAATTAATAGAAAAGTTACTACTCATTTCCACAGTAGCTATAATACTATCACCAATAACTAGGACCGAGGATATAGCTGTTTGGTTTCTATATAAAAAGTCTTCTATTGTTGTAAGCTAAAGGGTGTTTGGTTCACCCATTTTATTGAAAAATTTTGAAAAAATATCTGACAATAACATTCTTGTAAATAATGGTGATACGTGCAACCAACAAAGATAGTGGGAAGGGTGGTGTTAGTGGATAGTTGTAGAGAGAGGAGTGGTGTTGGTGGATAGTTGTAGGGAGAGGAGTGGTGTAGTGGGTAGTTGTAGAGAGGAGTGATGTTAGTGGATAGAGATAATTAGTGTAGTTATATATAGTGGTTGTAATGGAGAGGATGCTATGAATGAGAATTATTGTTTGCTTATCCTCTAGTTCTTCTCCTTATCTTCCTCAGTTCTTATCTCTGTTCCTATTCTTCTTCCTCTATCTAAACCAACCACATCATTGGTATCAGAGCCGGTCGACCATGGAGACAAGAGCCAAGACTAATGCGGAATTTTGAGCAGAGGTCGAAGGAACTCTTGCCAAGCATGAGACCAACATTGATCGTATCCATGTAACTCTAGAACGCGTGCTAGAAGAATTGCATGTTAGACCCTAGAGGGGGGTGATTAGGGTCTTATGCTAATCTAATCCGATTATATGCCAATTAAAATTAATTAACAAGTTATCCTAGCAAGTATGAAATATAACAACTATATAAGCTAGGATAAGCAATATGAACAATGAGATATATCCTATATGATGAATATATATATACAAGGATATATAAACTAACACAAGATGATATATCCTATCAAAGAGATATACAATATGATATATGTATATGCAAGGATATAAAACTAACACAAGGGGTAAACAAAATGAACTAGATAGTGGATCATATAAATAATGAGCTAATGACAATGGCGACAAGAAATATAAACACGAGTATAAATAAACGCCAAAGCACCCTCAAACACAAGATATGATCACGGAGTTCGGACCTTCCGTCCTACGTCTTCGCTCCCCACTCCCGGGGAGAAATCCACTATCACAACCGGGTTTTCTACGTTCATCCGAATAACGTTTACACCTCACACTCGGTTTTCTAGCTAACCGAAAACTTTACAATCAACACTCTTGCAATCACACTCTACACCCTCATAAGTGTTAGACCTAGCCGTGTCTCCCTCAAGTGCTCGGTTACAACCTCTCCCTAGGCTCGTCAACTGACGCCACTCCTCTTGGGACGATCCCCGACTCTCACCACACACTCCTCTCGGTGTATAAATGTATTACAAAGTGAATCTCACAATAAGGTTCAATACAATAATTGATTGTTCTCAACTATGGATGAGAACACAATGAAAGCTCACACTCAATGTTACAATCTCTCACAACCCTAATATACTATGTATGCAAATACAATAAGCTCATGTGGGTGTGTGTAACAATGAGATAAAATCAAATCTAAACTCAATATAAAACTAGCTTTAATAGAAATGATAATTAACAAATAATTATAAAAAGCTAGAGTAGAGTTTAGAAAACTTCTCAATAGATGACAAGATGGAGAGATAGAGATTGAAGCCCAAACAAGAAGATGATCTCCTCCACTTGTGAAAACTATCTTCAAACCAAACAAACACTAAAACACACTTAAACCCTTATTTAAAACTCTTTAAACTTGTTTAAAACATTTCTTGAGTCCTCAGGTTCGGTCGACCGGTGCGGTCGACCGAAAACTGATATGACAGAAAATTAGGTTCTGAAAACTGTTTTGCTGATTTTAAAATGCTGTTTAAAAATATCAAATAAATTCCAAAAAATGTAAAACTTTGGGGAATGATTGTAGACGTGATAATAAACATGCTACAATGACTGGTTTCCAAAAATGACTTCCCAAATGAAAAATATCATCATTTTACAAAATAGTCCAAAACATGAAAATATGAGATACTTGAATTTTGATGTTTTGACATAAACCAACTTTTAAAACTTTGTGAAATGTTTTTATAGACTTAGTAAAACATGTATAAACTGATATTGAAGTCTATAAACTAATAAGACAATATTTTCACAAAATTACATATTCTATGCAATAAGTACTAAAACACAATAGAGTATGTAATATCATAAAAACCAAAACACATGTATGTATATATATAACTATATATATGCATAGAAACCAAAACTTATGTATATATATATAACTATATATATATATACGAAGAAACCAATAAATGTGTGTGTATATGATATTGAGCTTAGAGTATCTAACACACATAATATAAAATCTAAACTAGATTATCCAAGCTTGATCTTGATCTTCATTGTAGCTCAACTTGGTAAGCTTGCGGATGAAGCTTGAACTTGATCTTTAACTTGAATTGTACGATGCTTCACTCCACAATTCCGCCAACCTCCTCTTGATATGATCGTGTAGGCTTAATCTATCCAACCTCCAACATATTGTTAGTCTACAATAAATAACAAAATACAAACACTAGACAAATAATATTAGATGTAAATTGTTTGTTAAATTATCATCAAAACAAGAAGGCCAACAATAAGCTGTGTGTCTCCATCAGACCCAGGAAGCCGAGATCCGAGCAGCTAACCCAGCGGCTATACCCGGCCAAAACAACCCTTTGGTTGATGTTGAAGCAGGGCAGCTTCAAGCCCAACCACGACCTAGGAATAACAACCCAACCAACCTGAAACTCCAATTTCCAAAATTCAGTGGTGAGGACCCAAACGGGTGGATATACAAAGCCGAACAATATTTCACATTCCAGGGAGTTGAGCCTGTGCAACAAGTGCAATTAGCAGCTTTTCATTTGGAGGGTGAGGCACTCCAATGGCATTGGTGGTTGAGCAAGTTTTAGGGGTCCATTAACATGGCCAGAATTCACACGTGCAGTGCTGCAATGATTCGGTCCGACTGATTATGAAGACCCTTCGGAGGCACTCACGCGGCTCAAACAAGTTACTTCAGTGGCTGCTTACCAAACTGAGTTCGAAAAACTATCTCAAAGAATTGATGGGTTGCCACAAAATTACCTCATTGGATGCTTTGTTGCAGGACTCAAGGATGAGATACGTTTGGACGTTAAGGTTAAACAGCCACGTACGTTAGTGGATGCAATTGGAGTGGCCAGATTAATTGAAGAGCGGAACTTGCTATAGAAAAAGGTGACCACCCCCAACCCAACAGCTGGTGTACTAGGTCCTCCACCAACTCAGAGTGTGAATGCAAGTTTAAACACTACTACAACAACATTCCGTCAAATCACTAACCAAGAGGCGCGAGACCGTCGAGAGAAGGGGTTATGTTACTATTGTGATGAGAAGTTCATTCCGGGTCATCACTATTAACGTTCACAACTATTCATGATCGATGATGATATGTAGTTATATATAGTGGTTGTAATGGAGAGGATGGTATGAATGAGAATTATTGTTTGCTTATCCTCTAGTTCTTCTCATTATCTTCCTCTGTTCTTATCTCTGTTCCTATTCTTCTTCCTCTATCTAAACCAACCACATCAAATGGATTTCTGTAGATAAACTGTGTTTGGTTCAAAAAAAATTTATAAAAATATTTTCTATAAAGTAGGGAAAAGGGGGGTGTTTTATAGAAATCAACTTCCTCCCCAAATGAGAGGAAATTGTGTAGAAATCTAATATTTGTATTAAAAATAATTAAGTACACCCGTACCCCATTTCTCCACCCCCTCCCATTGGTATTTGTGAGTGAAAAAGTTTAGTAACCTATTTTCTATAAAGTGATATACAACCAAACAAAAGAAAAAGAAACCAACCTATTTTCTATAAAGTTAGGAATTTATTTTCATGTTTTGAACCAAACAAGGAAATAGAAAAAAAAGAAAAGAAAAGTAGTACTCTTTGAGTTTTACGAACTTTTCCTATAAATATTTATAGAAATACAAGGAAATCAAAATTTGGGTACTTTTCATTTTTCCTTTTTTTGTAGAAATCGAATTAACCAAACAAGGAAATAGAAAAAAAAAAGTAGTACTCTTTGAGTTTTATATACTTTTCCTATAAATTTTTGAAGAAATACAAGGAAATCAAATTTTTGGTACTTTTCCTTTTCCTTTTTTTTAGAAATCGAACTAAACAGCACGAAGGTAATGGGATCAGAGTTAGATATGAGGACGAAGCCTTAAAACAGTATGTTAGGGTACTTGAAGTTTTCGGTTTTATTGGGAATACAGAAATTTTGTTCTTCTTGCATATTTATGTGTTTGATTTTTTTCCCTATCACGTTCAGGGAAGAAATCTCAAAAATTAATCTACATGTATAGATTACATAGATTTAACAAGTTCAATGTGATTACTATTGCCTATAAAAAAATTATGGAAGTCAATATTAATCTTGAACTTACTGCTATTTCTCTGTTCGTTCTAGTTCTTATGGCTTTTACTACTTATTATATATTAAAAAAAATGATAATAATAATAATAATCAGCCAAACTGATTAATTTCAGTAGAACTTTATTAGTTCTAATCAATGCTTTAAGAAACGAAATAAATGGTTTCAAACTCTAAAAAGTATCTTATGAAATGTTTACTAATGTAGAACTGATTTTGTAGGAGGAGTTTTCCAAGATTTGTTGCCAAAAGAAGATTATTTCTCCCGGGCACTATACACATTTGATATAGGCCAGAACGACCTTACATCAGGATACTTCTCCAACATGAGCGCAGAAGAGGTTAAAGCAACTATCCCAGACATCCTCAACAAGTTCACAATTGCCATACAGGTACATGATTCCTCGATGAGATATATACATCACCTTATAATTCTTCGAGACACTAAACTAATGTGAAACTTTTCGCAGAGTATTTATGGTGAAGGAGGAAGATACTTTTGGATACACAACACCGGTCCCTTTGGTTGCCTCCCCTATGTTTTGGATCGTATCCCTATTTTAGCATCTCAGGTCGATAGAGCTGGTTGCGGAGCTCCTTTCAACGAGATGGCCCAACTTTTCAATGAAAAGCTCAAGAAAACTGTAGATCAACTCAGAGAGCAACTGCCTCTTGCAGTATTTACATATGTAGATGTCTACTCTGTCAAATACTCGCTCGTGAGCCAACCAAGGAAATTTGGTAATCGCTCAATAACTAGTGTAAAACTAGTGCCAAACTCTAATTTATATATATTAAGCTTCATGAATCAAAGAGTAATGTTCAGAGATTGAACTTTTAACTAGTTCGTTTTCAACAATTTCATGCATAAGCAAAAGCTGGAGTACTTCAAATCACTTAAAAAAATGAAACTCATGTAGTAGTGAACTTCTGTTGTGCTTTATCTATCTAACCATAGAATTAGAAGCTTGTTATTTGATAAGTATATATAAATTTAGGACATTTAGTTTAATTAGTACTGTAAATGAATTAAGTGGCAAAGATGTTTAAAGAGCTATGTCGATGAATCTGCAGGGTTTGGACACCCCCTTGTAGCTTGTTGCGGACACGGAGGAAAGTACAACTATAACATTCACGCTGGTTGCGGAAAGACAATCACGGTAAATGGAACACAACAGCTGCTTGGAAAATCTTGTGGAAAACCTTTAACTCGGGTTAATTGGGATGGAGTCCATTACACAGAGGCTGCTAACAAATTTGTGTTTGATCAGATATCCGAGGGCGCCTTCTCTGATCCAACTATTCCATTGACAATGGCATGTAACAAGCACAGATGATTTAACTAATATGATTCTGGCATTGACTTTTGCTAATGAATAATTTACTTTCCTCCGGTAAATTATATTAAGCCCCCAAGAACTTAAAGAGATTTGCAGTAAACTTATAATGAACTTTCAAAATCGCACTAAATCCCTAGTGTTAAGGTGTTCCCATTTTTGCCAAAGTGCAATTTGTCACGCCCCGCTTCCCAAAATACCGAGGAAACGGAACGTGAACAAGCCCGCGACGTATTAGATTGAGGAGAATAAATAAAAACATTTCTTCTCAACCTAATACGCTAAGCGTCAAGCAATATAAAATGTGAAGTCACAGATCCCCGATCACGATTAGCAAAAACATAATAAACAACTCAGAATAGAAAAGTCATATCACAAATGAAATATCATCCGAAACACAAAGTTTGGGTCAAACATGTCCTTATTCAAAATAGTCCAACTAAAAATATGAAAATACATAGTCCAACATCATAAAAGGAAGTACTGCAAAAATATCTAAATTCTTCAAATACTAAAAGAGAAAGTACTACATAAATAATCTAATATCCGTCAGCAACTACAGAAGTGAAATGACTAATAAAAGAAAAGACTAGACTTCGACTTCTTCTTCTTCTCTGTCTGAAAAGCACTCCTGCTGAGAATACTTGGCTCTGGCGTATCTCCATACTGGACCTATCCGTCCTCTAAATCTGATGTACACTAGAGAAAACAGGTATACGTCAGCGTGCATGACACACGATAAGATTTCACAAAAGAAAATAGTAACGGTCAAATGACCAATGCAATAACCGATGCAACAACAGAAATGACAAAAGATATGTGCAACTAAAAATCTAGCAAAGTCAAAATGCAATCCACTACTAAATCATGATAATCATAAGGTCTACAACATACAATAACATAGTCGAGTACTTGCCATCCTAAAATAGCTCACTGATCCACATCTCACACAGAGTCAACGTTCATATCATCAGATGACTGACTGTTCACAAATCCTCTACGTGCATCCAATGCCGCTACACGATATCGGTCAAAGGACTACACACAATCCAATTTCAGCCTGGTCTGAACTCAAGCAAAACTTTGGTGACTACACGATTTTTACTAACCAAATCGACTACATGATTTTCACTTTGGCCCAACAAACTAACCCCAGTGACTACACGATTTTCACTGGTGCGAGTTTGGAAGATACATCAACAACCATATCTGATCACATGAACCAAGATTTTTCCATCCCAACTCTTCTTGTTTCTCTAAGTCAACAAACACGACTTATAATAGATCTTGGGTTCACCACCTAAATTTAGTCAACGTACCCACACATGTCACTAAGTCTTGTTCATGACGTGCAAAGCCACTGAGTCATGAACTACTAACGGTTCTCAAACACAACAAGGAACAATAAATGTAGCTAGTTCTATGCAAATAAAACATGGTACGTCATGTAATTAAAATAAGAATCATGGAATCAGCGGATGTTTTGCACATAAAATGTCACAGTCAACAACCATTCATAACACATTCATAAACTAAATTAATTCAAAATAAATAATAAAATACCCCCCCCATCCCATACCCACCAGTTCGGAACGGCCTGGTGGGTATGGGGGGTATTTATTCTTTGGTAAAATAAATTCCTTTCAAATTATCTCTCACCATAATTATTCTAAAAATAATAAATTTATAAATTCAAAAATTATCTTTTTACAAGATAAATTCTCATTAATTCAAAATAGTTTATTTTCCCAAAATAAATTCTTTTAAAAATATTTATCATTCTAAATGATTTTCTTCCACAAAATAAAATTCAAAAAAAAATTATAATTATTATAAAATAATCTCATTGTTAAAATAAATTCTTTAATCTATTATAATTATTTTGAAAATAATATTTATAACATAATTATGATTTATTTAATATTATTCATCAAATCCACGTAGATAATTATATCACAAATTAACATAAGTAGATAATTCACAATTTCATCAACAAGCCCACGTAGATAATTATTAACGGATCTAAAATTCTAATAAATAACGATTAAAAATGTAAATTCGCACGACAAATATTAGAATTGCAATAAACTAATCTAGAATCAGAATCTTGTGTGCACAATTAACAAATCTAAAAATTGTATGAAATAATAAACGGGGAATATAAGGATCTTGCCTCGGGTTTTTGTCGAATGTATCGACGTCGCCATGCGAGGCTACGGGTCTGCGGACAAGGCAGCTGGTGTAGGGGCTGCTGTTGGTGGCAGCGACGAAGGGCAACGAGCAGGGGAATGGGCTGGCGACGCGGTCGGAGCTTGGGGAGGCGGAGGAGAGCTCGGCGGTG